ATAAATAAACATTCCGTTTTATACATATAGAGTATATACAGGGTATAGCAAAAGTACCGGAATGGCAAGATAACTCGGCGGGGGAGCATTTTAGAGAAAAATGTTTCAGACAAAAGTTGTAAGGCTTAAAAAAACGCATTCAACGATAGTAGATATTTGACATAGGATGGCGACGCCAAGGTCAGAACAAGGTCAACTTTGCTTTTTTAAATAGAAATTCATTTTTTATTACGGCATTTTATTCAACGTAAAAACGCAAACAACTTTTGCTTGAAAAAAATTTTTATACGACCTCTATTTTCTAAGATATTTACAAGATAAATATCTACAAGATTATTGGTTTCAATAATTTTTTACTTGAATTCTATCAACTTTACCAAAAAATATCAAGAAATAAAAATTGCTTATTTTGTTTTCATAGAGCTCTGTGAATTTTTTTCAGAATTTTGTGTTAACTTTTTAGTACTTCAAGAAAATGTAAGAAAATGAAGTACTAAAAAGTTAATATAAAATTCTGAAAAAATTCTCAGAACTCTATGAGAACAAAATATACAATTTTTATCTCTTTTTATCTCATATTTTTATCTCATATTTTCCGCTAAAGTTGATAGAATTCAAGTAAAATTTATTGAAACCAATAATCTTGTAGATATTTACGTAAATATCTTAGAAAATAGTCGTATAAAAAATTTTTCAAAGCAAAAGTTATTTGCGTTTTTACGTTGAATAAAATGCCGTAATAAAAAATATGTGTTTCTATTTAAAAAAGCACAGTTGACCTTGTTCTGACCTTGGCGTCGCCATCCTATGTCAAATAACTACTATCGTTGAATGCGTTTTTTTAAACCTTACAACTTTTGTCTGAAATATTTTTCTCTAAAATGCTCCCCCGCCGAGTTATCTTGCCGTTCCGGTACTTTTGCTATACCCTGTATAGAGTTAAATACATCCGAAAGATACAGGGTATTGGTGCAAAACCTGAAAGAATACCCGGGTAGTCGAAATTAGCAGCACTAGTACGCGTGTCGCGCGAGATATTTTCCGAAAGTGTTCTATCAGGCGGAGCCGTGAGTTTCCCTGGGAAAAATACGATTCCCTTGATTCCGCTCGATCGTTGTTCAAGGCGCGCAGGGTCAGCCAGGCGAAACAAATCTCGGTAAGAAGTCCCGTGGAAAAGTTAAGTAAAGCGCGCCGGGGCAAGGGGAAACCGCCGAGGAGCCCGCGGCGTTTCCGGGAGCGACGTACGGCGTTTAGCTTCGCGACGGTGCGGCGAGCCTTGATTTTGAAGATTCGTGTTTTACTTCCGAGAAGGAGACGCGGGAGATTTTATAAGATTACACGCGAGAGAGGAGAGAGCGGGGTCTCTCGGCGGTAAAGATAACAAGACCGGTCTCGTCGCGCGGAGAGAGGAGATAGAGGGAGAAAAAGAGAGAGAGGGAGAAAGGGAGAGACTTTGGTCGTGTGCCAACGCGTAAAATTCGCAAGAACGGAATCGCTGAGCCCGCACGGCTCCCTTAAAATAATGCGAACAAGTGCCCGTTACTGCGGATCGTACGTTCCAGCGGCGACCAGCATTCTCTCCAATTGCTAAAAGAGGCTAAAAAGCGGGTCGTCGCTTATTAAGAGAATTACTTCGTTAAGCCACGCGAGTAGAACCGCGCGCCGGCTCGTGTATAGACGGGAAATGCCCGTTTCCTGGGCCATAAATCGCGCTTTGCGCAAAATCCATCCCTTTTTCGGGCGACTCATCTTGCAGGAATCCAATGAGACCTGAATTCCACGTCGCCATTTGTCGAGAATCCCTCGCAAGGTGACTTTCGTTTTTTTTTCGATATTGCGTAGAATAAGAGCGAATATGTATCTCCATTTCTAAAATATTCTTCTCCGATATTTCGGAGATTTCTTCTCAGATTTTCTTGAATACACCAAAAGTATTATAAAAGTATTAAAAGTATTAAAAGTAATATATAAAGAGTGATTCAAAAATTATCGTTCAATGTTGGTGTGTTGTTATTTTGCTGAAAAACACTGCATCGCGCACACACAGATATGTGAATCATCACAATTATTATGTTTCCGAATTAATTGATCAATATAAATGTGTGATAACAACAAAATACAGAAAATATCGATTCTTCCATCCCATTAAGCAGCGCTCTCTGCGGGTTGTACGGATAATGGCGACATGTTACAAGCGTCGTCGTCGTCGTTTTTATGTGTGCATAGCCGTTCTTCAATTTTACCGGCACGGAAGAACTCCTTAGCAATTACAAGGAGATCGCTTGGTTTTGTTTCGAGCGCGGGTATACCTGTCTAAACAGTTTTGCGTCGATATAACATCCCCGTCTTGTCCCCGGCTCGTGAACACAACCTTCCGCCCTCTCTATTTCTCGCCAACCCGATCTCTCTTTCTCTCGCTCTCTTTGTCGCCCCGCGTCTACCTGCGCGTCTCTGTCTGGCCTCGCAGCTATTCGAATCTCATCGGACGACAAGCTTAGTTTCGCCAGGCAGGAATACTGTCGTTCGTGAGAGCGTGCGACGAAGGCGAAACAACGAGACGCTCCTCGTAGAAAGAAGGACGTGGAAACTGTACAGGGTGTCCCAAAGTAAACGTGTAACAACGCTATTCTCGAGTAAAATCACAAATAGAGATCTCAAGGAATGCGGACTTAGTCGACAGGTCTGATGTTTAAAGTATCGTATCAATCTTATGGAGAACGATTTTCATATGTTAACATTATTTTATGTCCATCACACAAGTTTCTTACGTCTCTACCGAGATATTTTTACTTTTTACATTATGAACGAAGGCACTTAATGAGATTAGGTCGATAGTTTCCGTAGCTACGAAAAATACCGGGTAGGGGACCCGCTCTCTGTGACTTACTCTCTATGGAGAAGTATGAGGCCCGGAATTGTCATGATGGAAAATGACGTATTTGCGATTGACTGAGTGTGCTTCCTGCCGATTAATTTAATTGATTCATTTAATTTCTTTAATTAAGTTGCAAACAGTCTAAATTTATGAATTGGTTGTTCGGTAATAGCTCTTAGTGCACACGATTCCCGTCCAATCCTCCGCCAGAGACAGTGCATGACCTTCTTTAAAAGTGAACTGGGCATGCAATTAATTAAGCGAGAATTCAAGTGACTTCACGCTTATTTTCCATTGACAAATTACCTTACACGTTGGTCGGCTCTCCGCGATCCAAGAAGTTGATGCGTGGATTGCGCTCCGACCCGTGGCAAGTTGTTTGTTCAAGTTGGCTTAAAATCGCGAATTGCTTTGACACATACGGGCAGAAAGGGGGGGAGGGGAGCAGAGAGAGAGAGAGCCGACTCTCGGACGCTTCGACGAATACCGATGGGAGCGACGAAATGGATCAGCCTGTACGCGCGCACACATCCCGGCAATATATACGAAACGTGCACCTTCCGACGCGGTCGCATAAACTCGCACCGTATCGCACCGACATCCATACGAAATTCGCACCTTGCGTTGCTTGTCCAACCTGTTTTGTCAGCGGAAGAGATTCCGTGTACCCGCACGGAACAAACGCTCGCCGTCTCGCTTCCACGCGCTGTTTCAATTCTCCGTCATCCCCTCTGTCTATCTTTCGTTCGTTCTCTCTTCCTCTCTCTCTCTCTCTCTCTCTCTTGCTCTCGCTCTCTTGCCGGATCCGTGGTTGAGTCCGCGTAATTATAACTTCGGTAAAATCTACGACGACGACGACGACACCATCGAATATTCTCGTTCTCGAGCTATTCACTCCTTTTGGAGGTGTGCTCGCGCACCGTGTCGGTCTAATTATTTCGTTTTCCGCCGAGCCCAGTGCCGAGCGAGCGACGACGAGGACGGAAAAGTGGTGGAAGAAAGGCAGAGGTGTGGGTAGAAGACCCCGAGGGCGCTTCCTTGAGCTCTTTTAACGGTGCCTCGATGCGCCTCGCAGCCTCTTTCAGCCCCGATGCGAATCGCTTCAAGTTGTCTACCCTTTGTTTCCACCTCTTTTGATCGCGATACCGGTTTCTTCGCGCCGTGATCCTACCAGAAGATCGCTTGCTTACGCTCGCCGGGTATTAAATTAGAGGTGTTTTCGTATCCGATCGCGAAGCAGAAAGCGTTCTGCTGGTGACTCTCGCGGCAGCGGAGGAGGGTCGACAAGGGATCGGCAGATGACGAAGTCTCTCAGCCACGCGATAATTCGCGAAAAGTGTGAAACGGCGAGATTGGAGCTCCGCAGGGGTGTGTGAGAATTTTCATGCGCGATTCGACAAGAGTATAAAACAACCCGAGTCACGCGGACCGTTGAAAAATTCTTGGGACCTTCGCCTCTTCTTGGGAAATTCCGCTTCTGGAGAAGTTCCCCCCTTCCCATCTTCTCGCCTCTGTTTCGCGTTTGAGACTTTGTCCAAACACTACGTTTCTTCGCTTCTGGCAACACACGCGCACACAATCGCGCGCCGTTGTCTTCGATAAAGCCGAAGAGAGAACACGATCTCCCGACGAGATTCGAACGAGTGCGGCTGGAAAAGCAACGAACAGATGGGAACGGAAATCGAGAAAAGGCAAAGAACCTAACCGAGCGGTTTGACCCCTCCGTTCGCTCATTTAAGTAGCTAACTCGTCGAAATCGCTCGGCGCTTTGCGCCCGCTCGTTCGCGGATTTCGCGCAAAGGGAATTCGTAAACGTCGAAATTACAGTCGGAATAATCTGTGAATTATTTAGGCTCGACGAATCGAACCGGTATCGGAAGGGGTAGCGGACGATGAGGCGCGTTTTGATGGCTCGGAAAGGCCGCTCCCCCACACTCCAATTATCGATCTAACCTTATTAAGTGCCTTCGTTAATAATGTAAAAAGTGTATCAATTTAACGGTTCGTTACAAATGTTCTAATTGCAAAGTGATCTTCTCTTCCTTTTTTTCTTCCCACTCTCGGCCTCGACGACGAAACGACGGACGATCGATGGAGTTGCTCACGGTGCTCATAATAATTGCAGGTCGGCCAGGCACGGATTATCCGGTGCTGGGTAAGGTGCCCTACACGAATTTCTACTGCGACGACCAGTCCTTCCCCGGCTTCTTCGCCGACGTGGAGACGAGATGCCAGGCGTGGCATTATTGCGACATAGACGGCCGACAGGCAACGTTCCTCTGCCCGAACGGCACGCAATTCAGCCAAGCGGTCTTCGTCTGCGACTGGTGGTTCAACGTGAGGTGCGAGCTCAGCCCGAAGCTCTACGCCATCAACAGTCGACTTTACGGTACGCCCACCGAGAGCCCGACCAGACCTCACCGGCTGATCACGAAGGAGCTTCTCGAGAACATCTTCGTGCGTAGGAAATGAAGGGGGCGGCGGGACGGCACGCGATACATCGTACCGGGACAAAGAGAGAAGAAAACGGGAGAGAGAAAAGAAGAGGTGGCGACAGGTCGCCCGAGGTGGAGGATGCGGGGAGAATCGCGAAGAGCGCCAACGGACAATGGCGTGCGCCAAAAAATACCCTCCGGACGCACGTACATACCTACGCGCGGCAGTCTTTCCTTCCTTCGGCGAGTCGCCACGGGTCGTATTCCTCTCCCGAGAGTCTCCCAGGCTTCAGGACGCAATCGCGATCACTTAATTATTCCATCAGCGACTGATGGAATAATGAGACTGGCGTTGCGACTTGTCCTGTCGCGGAACTTCCAAAGGATACGCGGAGACACGCAGAGGGGGAGAAAGAGAATACCCGACGATCACCCCTCGCGAGCGGGAAACGACCGGTGGCGAAATTGTCCGGCGAACGCGATCGACGGCTGCTGCGCGAATACCGGAGGGTCGAGTGGCGAACATCGCCGATACATCGCGACGAGTCACTCCTGGAGAGCGTACTCGAGTCGCTGAAGAATCGCGGAGGACGGGAGATTACCCGGCGGATAAATCTTTGTCCAATGAATATCGAAGCGCGATCACGCCGAGGACGAGAGAGAGAACGTTCGCTCGAGAGCGAGGAGGACTGCGATTCGACTGGATGAGCACCGCTGCGTCAATAAAAGAGGAAACGGAGTGGTGGGGCGCGACTTCCTCCATCTCTCCCCGTCAGCGATCGTCCTACCCCTTCTGGCGCGGAAATGCGACCATCGTCCTGCAGCCTGGATGCGGTTCTTAATCGTTGATGAGATCGCGTTCGAAGCGAGGCAGCCGAGGATCCGTCCGGAGAGAATAAGAAGCTCCGGAAGCTGATCGTTACGGCGGAAGTGTGAGCCATCGGCTCGAGCAATACGTGCCGCACATCTGTGCGAGAGTCGACCGAGTGGCTCCTTGATCGATCATCAAATCCGGATGGTCGGCCGACGCTTCGAACGTCGTGGTGACTTCCGTTCAGACCATTCTACAATTGCGTAAGCGTGGTCGTGAGTGCTTGTAAGTGATTACGAAAAGCAATAGGAATAAAACAATCAGCGAATAAAACGACCGGTTGGCTCTTACGTTCACGATCACGCTTACGCAATTGTAGAATGGCCGACTTATGTGCTCTCGGCCTCTTCGGCGACTCCGAGCGCGCAGAGTCTTATGTTTATCGATCGATCGGCCAATTGGCGAAAGTATCGTGGCGCAAAAATGATCTTGATCGTGAGCAAATATTCGCAGCGCGAAATTCACAATGAGGAGAGGTGAAATCCTGTCATACGATCGAGCGATGTCGTATTCATGCCGCTTGAAAATTTAAACATTTGCTCGCGGCGTATTCGTCCCTAAAGAAATTAATGCGTTGCCGCGAAGCGTAACGATGCAGATTGCAAAAGCTCTAAAGACCAAGTTACAGATCTATCAAATTTCTCCCGGCCGTTTCTCCGTGGCCGGCAAATCGGGAGATACAAAAAGATACTGCAGGACATGTGAAGAACGAAACAACGGCTGTGCAGAGCAATCGTTCGAACGGAATCGTCCTCGCGACAATAACGCGCGTCGTCGCCGACCGAGCCGCGTCGAAGGGGTGAAAAAATCGGCGCGTTTCGCGCGCGCGTCCGCATTGGCGGGTGCGAAAGTCGATGCCTCCGGAAATCAATACCCGATAATACGATTGTAAACGCGTGATGTCCGAGCGAAGTACGACAGCAGCGGGCTCGCCGAGCAATTAGTAATAGCATGTCGTCCGATCGCGATATTGTTGCGGCGTCGCGCGCTGAAAAGTGACCGTCACACGCGACGAGTACTCGCCACACACACACGCCAATAAATGAATATATATGCGCGACCACACGCATCGCAAATTGCGCATCAAGATCGCAACCGGGCGGCCATGATTTTTCACAGCCAGAAGCAGGAAAGGAGGGATAAAGGGAAGGACAAGAAGCAGCGAACAACGACATTATCCTCGATCGCGTCGCGAGTTTGTTGTATTAGTTAGTTAATTGTTGAGAAAAACTGTGAAAAAAAAGAAAGAATGAGAGAGAGAGAGAGAGAACTTACAAGAGAAAAAAATATCTAAAAAATAAAAAAATATTCATGCACTAATAACATATTTCCATTTAAATTCTTTTTTTTAGGAACAAACAATTGCTTGAAAAGCTATAGTAAAAAATACTTGAAAATTTATTTGTAAGATGTAAAATTTATTTTGACAGAAATAAGTTTTATTTCACAGAAATCAAATATTTTATAAAAATAAATTTTATATATCCGACGAATAAATTTTCAAATATTTTTTTCTCAATGTAAAGTTCTGAGGAAATGTATATCTTCCTATTTGAAAAATATTTTATATCAGTATAAATAAATACGCTATTAGTGTAGCCACCGAATAAATCTTCCTCTATTTTTTAGATATTTTTTTCTCTAAGTGTATATGCATATACGATTTTTCCACCGTGATCATCCGTTTTATTTGAATTTCTTGGGATGAAATTCTCAAAGCGGACGAAAAGTCGCCCGGATTCGATCGTCTGCTTTTCGAGTGAAATTTCACACAAGGAAGTCAAACCAGAGTTTGTAAGCGATTTCCACGCGCTGACAGCGAACATGTGCCTTTATCTTTTAATACCTTCGCGCCTTGTACATAATAGAGATAGATCCTAGATGTACGTTAAAACGTTCCACACGTAGCGTTATGCACTCGTAAACAATTCCGTCGTCGAAGTGGGTGAACGAGTGTGTGCGAGCGACTCTCAGGGCAACGTGGGAATAAATTCGCCGATTGAGTAATAATCGAAGATTCCTTTTAATGGGAGCGCGAAAATATGTATATATATATATATATATATATATATATATATGTATGTATGTATATGTATGTATATCGGAAATGAGAGGGAGCGCGACATTAAAAAGGAGCTCTCACGGGTAGTTGGCTTGCTGCGAGCCTTTAGTGACATCCGACTGGGGAATGTAATCATCGTAGATTGAAGTGACACTGTGCGACGGTACGAAGAGAGAGAGAGAGAGAGAGAGAGAGAGAGAGAGAGAGAGAGATGCCATTACTGAAATTTTTATTTAATATAAGGGGGCTCGCTTTTACGAGGCAGGAAGTTACTGCAAATTAGTTCGAAAAGTTTTCGCTGCGGTATATCTTTAATGAGAGATGCCGACCTTTACTAGCCAATTTGCTAATGAAGAACAGTTAACGGAGACAATTTCGGCGTGGCTGCGGATTACTCTTTAAGCAGGGAACGCGCGGCCGAATTCGCGAGTGAGATCGAGCAAAAAGACAGTTCTATTGTAACTTTCACGTCACATCGGTCAAGATGGGAACAACGTTCATATAGGATAAATAGCGATGAAACTGGATTGTGCCTGCAAAACGGGCAGTAGAGGATTAAGGAAGAAAATTTCGATTCGTTCTATCATACGTGGTGCGCGCGTAATGCGATTAGGTATTAATTAATTGACAGCGGCGTTCGGCCATCCTTGACTGTAATCGCGGTTTCGAGCATCGCGCTCGATTCGCGTTTAACTTGATTTGAGCGCGGCGCGCTGACCGATCGGCTGGCGCGAGATTATCAACAAAAGAGCGTCCGCGCGGCAACGATGCAATTTTCGGCGCGAAATTACGTTCGGCACTACTTTCAGCGTTCGATTACGCCTCGTTGAAAAATTAATCATAAGAGCGAAGAGGCCCCTCGCATCGATGCCCTCAAGTTCAGCAAGTTCGCTTCGTGTTCGAAACGATGTGCGATAATGTATATCACAGAAATATACGTATTTACGTATGGAACGCGAGAGAAAGTCTCGAGTAAATTACCTCCCAACTAATTCAATGAAAAGAGTAAACAGAATGAAATCTCGGGTTGACGCGAAATTTTCTGCGCGAATTGTAATCGAGTTAAACTGAAGAAAAGTCGATCGATAGAAAGAACACGGAAATTTTGCCAAATATGTGACGAAAACGAAAAAAGAATGTTAAATGTAAAATCTCAAGCTGTTAGCGCAATATTTGCCCAGTCCAAAAGTTTCATAGTTTGTACATACTGAAAGTGCGGATGCTCCAAACAAACAAATTTTGAAGAATACTATTATACCTTCGAATTGAAAAGCTCAAGAATATCAGGAAAGTTTGCAGAAGATTTCTACATATACGTAGCTGGGTTTTCTGTTGAATATAGTAAAACAGAGCAACACACATTTATGTAAAGTTCTGTATGTATAAATACGAAAGGGAAAGCGTGATTGTGTTAGCAACGATCGTCTCTGTGTTATCCACATTGTTCGACTTCGTCATCGACTTCAGCATCCCCTTACACGATTGTTTTAGTTTTCGTTCATCTCGAGTTTTCAAAGGATCCTTTTTGCAAAAACAAAGCGTGATGTTACTGTCGGGGTTGTAATTGAAGACAATTGCAAATAACATAAATGAGATTTCACGCAGCAGCAACGTCGATGGGGATGAGAGATTTTTCGACAAGCTAAAAAAAAGCGAAATAGGCAAACGATGATGTTTGCAATGTAATGTGATAGGTTGTCAACGATGGCAGTGGCCGGTCGAGAGAGCTATCCTTTTGGGTAACACGAGATTTGTTAAAAAAAAGTCTCGAACAACGTTGGTGGGATGACAGTGGCGGATGCGGTCACTGCGGCCGCGACTGATTCAAGCTCATGCACTGTGTGTGTGTGTGTGTGTGTATGTGTGTGTGCACGTAGATGGTTTTATATAAAATATCAGGTATCCGTGTTGCGTTAAATGAACCGCAAGTTGCATTCCACGAAATAATTGGTTTTGCCAGCGTATCAGAATTCGTTTTTTTTTTTTTTTTTTTTTTTTTTTTT